CGGGGGCCGAGTTCCCTTCTCCTTTATGGCCCCTGCCACATTTTCTGCCTCTTCTCTGACCTCTGGAACTGTGTGCCGACTTCCTGGACCTGGCATTGGGCTTAAAGTTGGCAGGCTCACATGCGGCAAGGCCCGGATCAGGTCCAGGGCCCAGCGGCCCGGATGGGGCCCCGCCATAACTGGCGGGCTGAGAAGATTCAAGGGGGTCCCCAGCCGCCAAACCCCTGCCCCTGCTTGAGTGGTTTTGATAGTTCTGAGCGGTTGTTGCTCCAGGATTGATAAAATCTTTCCAGGATCTGTCAGCTGACCAAGTCCACCTTAATTCATCTGCATACCCAAGAACATGCTGCAAAGCTTGGCCAGGAGAATTGTTCAACCTGTTCTACTATCCTCTGATAGAGGTAGTCGGTGTCCCCTGCTGGCCTTGATGACCTGGCTCTCGTGCAGCTGAGGAGGCCCAGTCCTGATACGTGCACTCCTAGGTCTGACCACATATGTTGTGTTGTTCCCTGTGGCTGGAGTTGGGGTTAAACAGTGTGGTTAGGGAATCCTTCAACAAGCTGCTCCTGATGCGACCTGACGTATGTGCACCAGCAGTGCAGGGTCAAGGCTGTTCCCTCGCCTGTACATCTAGTGAACATAGCAGCGGATGCAGCTGCCTGGTCAGACCTGCTCCAACCCCATCTCTTACTCCTGTTTTCTGGGATACACATTAACAGGAAACTGGAATTGGGAGATGGCACTCAAATCTAGGTATCCTGATGATGTAGTGACTGAGAAGTCCAAACTCGCTTCTTCACAGGGAGACCAGTTGCTCAGCCTCATAGGGAGCTTCTGGGGATTTATATATTTTTATAGGAAAGGTAGATCTACAGAGAGAAAGAGACAAATTCACAAGTCTCTCAATTGCTGCTTCACTCTCCAAGAGTCCACAACAGCCGGAGCTGAGCTGATCCGAAGCCAGAAGCCAGGAGTTCCCTGCAGGTCTCCCACACTGGTGCCCATATGGGATCCTGGTGCATACAGAGTGAGGATTCGGGCACTAAGCCATGGGGTCCTGCACACATCATTTTATGCAGCTCTACCACCTGCTGCCCCGGTAGTGTTTTTCCTAAATGGAAAGTGTCCTTTGCACTGTTTGTCTCACTGGAAGTTGATCTAACTTGTCCCAGATGGGGCTCAGTGTGATGGCGCAATGGTTCCTTGCAAACATTGTGATCCCGTGTGGGCACCAACTTCATGTCTCAGCTGCTCCACTTCCCATCCGGCTCCCTGACTGTGGCTTGGGTAGGCAGTGGAAGATGGTCCAAAGCCTTGGGACCCTGTGCCAGCGTGGGAGACCCAGAGGCGGCTCCGGGCTCCTCGCTTGGAATCAGCTCAGTTTCAGCTTTTGTGGCCACTTGGGGAGTGAACCAGCAGAGGGTCTTTCTTGTGAATCTGTGTTTCCAGTAAAGTACGTTAAAAAACAAAACAGTAAAAAAGCTTGTCTCAGAGGAGACTGTTCTGTTGTGTCAATCCTGTGTAAGATGTGTGCTGGTGTGAATGAGTGTGTTGCGGTAGTTGGCATGGTGTACACAGGGCATGGTCCGGGCACCGAGGGACAGCTGCCCTCATATAGCAGCAGCTGGTGACCTCAGCTCCCCAGAAAGGACTGCTCTGAATAGCCGCTTGACTCAAACTTGTGGTGCATGGACATGTAGTTTTGTTGTTGTTGGGGTGGGGGTGTTGTGGGAGGATGGGAGGAAGATACGGAAGTGTCCAGAAGAACCACCTGTCAGCCCACTGCCTGCTCTTTCCTGGTCGTGCCAGAGGCTGAGTGGGAAATGGGCCTGTGCGTGGGGGAAGAGATATGGAGCAGATTGTTGTACGCTGGAATGTAAATGGAGCAGGACTGGAAGGTCTGGGTTAGCATCGGGTTGGCAAGGGACTTAGGTTAGTTATCCCAGAAGGAAGTTGGAACTTAGACAGGTTAACTGGCTTGTTAGCTGCTTGCCACTCATGGCCATGCGCGAGCACCTCCCATACGTGAGAAGATCCTTCCTCTGGCTCTTTGCTTTTTTGTTGTTTATTTAAAAAGGTTAATGCTTAGATCAGTTTTACTTTTCTTCATTTATAAAAAAAATTCCATTATACCTCCTCATTCTCATAGGGTGATTAACTTACTTATGAGAAACTGTTATGTTAAAATGAAGAAATTATGCAGTGATTCTCAAAGGGTACTTTATGGTTTATGATTTTAAAATTAAGATAAATACACAAAATTTTCCCCTTTTAAAGATTCATTTATTTTTATTGGAAAGTCAGATGTACAGAGGAGGAAAGAAAGAGAGGAAGATCTTCTGTCCACTAATTCACTCCCAAGTGACTGCAACGGCCAGAGCGCTGATCTGAAGCCAGGAGCCTCCTCCAGGTCTCCCACGCAAGTACAGGGTTGGTCCCTAGGCTTTGGGCCGTCCTCAACTGCTTTCCCAGGCCACAAGCAGGGAGCTGGATGGGAAGTGGAGCAGCCGGGATTAGAACCGGTGCCTATATGGGATCCTGGGGTGTGCAAGGTGAGGACTTTAGCTGCTAGGCCAGGCAGCTGGGCCCAGCAAATCTTAACAATGTAGAATACATTATAACAGTAAATTTGCTGAATAAGTGAAATTTTGAAATAGTTTTGTGAGAATTCATTGTAAAATTTGCTTGTCAAAATGTACAATTCAGGGCCTGGCGTGGTAGTCTAGCGGCTGGAATCCTTGTCTTGCTTACTCTAGGATCCCATATCGGTGCCAGTTCTAGTCCCAGTGGCGCCACTTCCCATTTAGCTACGTGCTTGTCGCTGGGAAAGTGGCAAGGATGGCTCAAAGCTTGGGACCCTGCGCCCGTGTGGGGGCTCAGGAGAGGCTCCGGTCTCCTGGCTTCAGATCAGCGCAGCTCTAGTTGTTGTGGCTGCTTGGGGGGGTGGTGAATCATCAGATGGAAGCTCTTCCTCTCTCTCCTCTCTGGAACTGACTTTCCAATGAAAATAGATTATCTTAAAAAAAAAATACACAATTTCGGGCCCGGAGCGGTGGCACAGTGGTTAAGGTCCTCACCTTGCACGCCCGGGATCCCATATGGGTGCCGGTTCTAATCCCGGCAGCCCCGCTTCCCTTCCAGCTCCCTGCCTGTGGCCCGGGAAGGCAGTCGAGGACGGCCCAAAGCTTTGGGACCCTGCACCCGGTGGGAGACCCAGAAGAGGCTCCTGGCTTCGGATCGGCATAGCATCGGCCGTTGCGCTCACTTGGGGAGTGAATCATCGGACGGAAGATCTTCCTCTCTGTCTCTCCTCTCTGTATATCCGCCTTTCCAATTAAAAAAAAAAAATCTTTTAAAAAAAATACACAATTTCGTGGGATTTTTTTTTTCAGCGTGTCCACAAAATTGTGCGCATATTGACACTGCCAGGTTCTAGATTCTATCTCTGAATGAAATCTGAGCCGTTCGCAGCCCTTGTCATCACTCCTCACTGCCTTTCACTGCCAGTCTGCCGTCTGGGCGGGCTGCCGCTTGCCTAGGACCTTTGTGAAATCCTACAGCCCGTGATTTAAGATTATTTTTTTAATTGGAAAGTTAGATATGCTGAGAGGAGGAGGGACAAAGAGGAAGATCTTTGTCCAATGATTCACTCCCCTAGCGTCCACAACAGCTGATGAGGCGCTGATCTGGAGCCGTGAACCAGGAACTGCCCCCGGTCTCCCATGTGGGTGCAGGAACCCAAGTTCGTTTCATTTGCTGGAACCCTCGACTTCTCCAGGCCACAAGCAGGGAGCTGGATGGGAAGTGGAGCAGACGGGATTAGAACCAGCGCCCATATGGGTCCCCTGCGTATTCAGGGCGAGGAGTTTAGCTGTTAGGCTACCGCGCTGGGCCCAGCCTGTGATTTGGGCTTATCTCTCACTCTGTCTCAGGCCCTCATTCCTATGTAATCTGTCTGTTGAATACCTCCGTCACACGTTGTGAATTGCTTCCCCAGTTGGCTGTTGTTGGTTGGTGCGTCTGGGCGGTTAGGATGATGCTGATGTGAACTTGTGTCTGTGCAGTTAGGTTACAGTCCAGGGCGTGTGATTCCTATTTCCCGATCTGTGCTTAGGGGAGAGACAGCTGGGGCATTTGATTTTTCGGGAGTGTCAGGTTTCTTTGCCAGGTGGCCGCTGTTTAGCGTCGCCATCAGCAGCACGTGAACACGGGTTCAGGTCCTGCGCACTCAGCTGGCGCTTGGGATGGCTGCCTTTCCGCAGCAGCCAGCGGGGACATGGGGCATCTTTCCAGGTGCCCATTGGTCATTTGTCCATCTTGAAGAGATGTGTCATCTTTAAAGCGGACTCGGGAATGCTGTTGTGTAAATTATTGCTCCGCCTTTTTCTGAGACAAAAGTGTTTTTTGTTTAGCAGTTCATGTTTTAGTGTATTTTTGAGTTTGTTTGATAAAACTAGTGCTAAATACACCTCTTCCCCGTGAAAAAACAAAGTAGTTACACAAGGTACTTGCAGGTGCCTGTGCGCGTGTGGAATGGGCTTCAGAGGGCAGTTCATTTTCATTTCAAATTTTTTGAAATCCTTGCTGAGTGATCCTTAAAGGGTCATATAAAATCCATGTTTGAATTTCAAAAATTTTTACACCAAAATGAACTTTTTAAAGCACCCTTTTGTTTTGTATCCTTGCTCAAAATATCTTTAAAGACAAGCTGAAATAGATACATGAAGTATTTAGTGAACCCTGTTCAGACATATTGAACGTGAATTTGTCTCTAGGTTGTAAGATCTAAGAAAAGTCAGACCCGCAGGTGGGGGACACATGGCTTAGTAGAGCTTTGCTGTGTTTTCTGTATTCACCTGAGACGGTCAGGAGTTGCAGTTGGAAGGAAGAAAAGGTTTGTCGTGTAGGAGAGGGGCAGCTAAGTGGCAGCCCTCTGTGCCCTCCGGAAAGCCCCGACCTGGTGTCTCGGGCGGCCTTAGCCACGTGACCCTCTTCCGCAGCGTGGCACCATGAGACGGCGCTATGAAGACGATGGCATCTCAGATGATGAAATTGAAGGGAAAAGAACTTTTGACTTGGAAGAAAAGCTCCATACCAACAAATACAACGCCAATTTTGTTACTTTTATGGAAGGCAAAGGTAAGTATAGTTTTGGTTTAGTTCTGGCACTGTGGGCCTGTCGTCTGTGTGGCAGCGTCCCAGTTGGCTGCCTGTGAAGGCGCTGTGCATGCCGCAGTCCTTCCTGCGACCTCTTCTGGGCTGGGTTAGAAGCAAGCTCTGGTTAACATGGGAGGATTGGCGTTGTTTACCCGATTGCCTGTCCTTCCTCCCATCCCTGGGTTTGGCTTTAGTTCAAAATAATACATTAACCAAGAAAAGCACACGTGTCTGCCCCCCGCCCTTACAAGGTGCGGGTCAGTGTGCGCCACTTTCCCTTGATCCTTCCCAGACTGACAAGGTTGTAACATGTATTGTGATCAGAATTAATATTTTTGTCTGCCAAAATAAGGTAATTATAATAATTTCTTCTTAGATTTCACATGGCGCTGTTTCCCATAGTTGAAGCTCTGCGTTTGCGCTTCCCAGCCTCCCTGCAGCCCAGCCTCCCTGCAGCCCAGCCTCCCTGCAGCCCAGCCTCCCTGCAGCCCAGCCTCCCTGCAGCCCAGCCTCCCTGCAGCCCAGCCTCCCTGCAGCCCAGCCTCTGCGCTTGCTCGGCCTGCTGCATGCCTTGATTGGCAGAACAGCTGTAGATGCAGAATGAAAGCATTTTATTAACTTACTACTTGGGGCCCCCTTTCTGGTCTTTGTGTCTTTTTCCCAGAGATACCTCATGTCCTTCTAATAACTGTTTTCTTGTGGCGACAGATTTTAATGTAGAATATATCCAGCGTGGTGGCTTGAGAGACCCTCTAATTTTCAAGAATTCTGATGGACTTGGAATAAAGTAAGTGTTCTTGGCCTGGCTGGATGTGACTGCTCTAGTCAGACACAAGCCAGTAGGTAACTGAGAACAGCCCCTCCTTTATTTAGACAATAAATACAGAATTTCTTGGTTTTGTTATACAAATGATTTGTGTTCAGGTAAATGGGACAATATAGATGAACTGAAAAACAGAATAGCTTAAGTGTCCTCTTATCTACCTTTCTCAGATAATTGTTGTTAGCGTTTTGCTGTTTTTTATTTTCCTGTTATATATGTAAACATATGACAAAATATTCTTAGAAAATAATTCCAAACCGGAGTGTCATTGGATGAGGCCGGAGGTTCTCAGAGCCTGTGGGAGCAGCTGAGTGTCATTGGATGAGGCCGGGGGTTCTCAGAGCCTGTGGGAGCAGCTGAGTGTCATTGGATGAGGCCGGGGGATCTCAGAGCCTGTGGGAGCAGCTGAGTGTCATTGGATGAGGCCGGGGGTTCTCAGAGCCTGTGGGAGCAGCTGCGATGGAAGAAGTGGCGCTTTCTGCTTCTGCTCAGTGGTCTTTGCTTTGCAGGATGCCGGATCCGGACTTCACTGTGAACGACGTCAAGATGTGTGTGGGTGAGTGCCGCCCCACCGCTGCTTTATCGTATGTCTGTCCGCATCTCCGTGAAGAATGGCTTCGGGGCAAATCTACCCAAGAAACTAAAACTTGTGTCTCTAAGCCATGAAACTTTATTTTTCTGTACCTTAAGGGTGGTAGGAAATCCCCCGGGAATCCTTGCCAGGGCTGCATTTGGTAACTTGTCTAAGGCTTGAATTTCTTAACATTGCAAAATAGATATATTAAAATTTCTCTTAATCCGTGACGAAATTCAGTATTTTTTAAAATTTGGATTATTTTTATTGGAAAGTCATATATACAGAGAGAAGGATCTTCTGTCCATTGATTTACTTCCCAAATGGTCACAATGGCCAAAGTTGGGCAATCTGAATCTACGAGCCTGGAGCCTCTTCCTGGTTTCCCACACAGGTACAGGGTCCAAGTTCTTTGGCCGTCCTTGACTACCCTCTCAGGCTACAAGCAGGAAGCTAGATGGAAAATGGGGCTACTGGGATGCTGGTGTGTGCAAGGCGATGGCTTTGGCTGCTAGGCTACTGCACCAGACCCATGATTTTATTGTGAGTTACATTGATTATACTTGGCGTTTTTGAAAAGAGCTGAAACTAACAGGGTCTAGTAAAAAAGAAGACTGCTGCCTGTGGTTAGTTAAGCTCTGGCATGATCGTCTGTGCTTGGTGTTCATTGCCCTCAGGCTTAGGGGTGCATAGGTGGGCTTCAGCTCAGGACAGCCTTTTGAAGCATAAAGCGGAGCGCTTTACTAAAGAACTAAAACTGAACTAAAGAAGGCTCCCAGTGTGTAGGAACTGTGTCTTGCAGTGCTGGCTCTTGACCACGTGAGGGCCCCTGTCAGGTCTCTGGGTGAGCTCATTACCCAAGAGGTTAGCCCTGCAGAGAGCCCTGAGCCAGTCTCTACCTCCCGTTGTTCGTCTCCCGTGCCCGTCAGCCATGTGCCCGGCACTGAGTGCTTCCTTAGGCTTGCCGCGGGCCCCAGGCTGTAGCAGATGTAAAGCAAGTCTGTTCAGTGATTCAAATGCTGACTTACCTAAGCCTTAGTGTAACTACTTGTCTACTTAGAATCCATCACTTGACTTTTTCTTTTAAGATTTTTATTTATCTTTATGGGAAAAGCAGATTTACAGAGAGAAGGAGGGACAGAAAAATCTTCCATCTACTGGTTCATTCCCCAGGTGGCCACAACAGAAAGAGCTGAGCTGATCTGAAGCCAGGAGCCAGGAGCTTCCGGGTCTGCTATGTGGGTGCAGGGTCCAAGGCTTGGTTCATCCTTGACTTCCTCAAGCAGGGAGCTGGAAGGGAAGTGGGACAGCCGGGACATGAAGCAGCATCAATATGGGATGCTAGCACTCTCGGGCTGAGGATTAGCCCCTTGAGCCGTGGTGCCGACCTCTTGGCTTTTTCTTAAAGAACTTTGTGCAGAACTCCCAGGATCCCTGTGACAGCAGGTCGCCACACCTGCTCACTCTTGGGTAGACATCTGTTCAGTTTACCATCTGTAAGTGACCTGCCTCAGAACCCTCGGTTTTTGTTTTTTTCCATTTGTTTATTTTATTTGAGAGGCCCAGGTATAGATCCAAGGACAGAGGGAGAGATCTTCATTGGTTTGTTCACCGCACTGGGAGTTGTGCAGCTGGGGTCCGATCCCAGTGCCTGTGTAGGGTGAAAGCGGCACAGGGGGCACAGCCTGCTACACCATGGCGCCAGCCCCCAGCAGAACCCTCTTTGATTCCCACTGACAGTGTAGGTTCCTGGAGCACATTGTGGGGAGATAGCAGAGTGGGAAGCTCCAAGAACATACTTGCCCCGCTGCACAGCAGTTACCTAGCAGAATCTCGCGGATGGAGCTGTTCTTAGTGGCCTGGGTTCCAGTGAGAGCCTGCAAGTTCAGATGAAGGCCTGGTCCAGAAATGAATCCAGACAGCTCCAGGTGTCAGTGTGCTGAGGGTAGCTTCTCCCTGTCTTCCCGTTCCTCCATGTCCCCCGCTAGGCTTTGGGCAGGCAGCTACACATGTGTTCTGGAACAAGCTGCTGGGACACAGTTCTTGAAGGGTGGTTTCGGCAGAACGGACCCTGTCTTCCAGGTACTGGGGAGCGGGCCGTGTTCCCAGGTGGCCTCTGTTGCCAGCCGTTTTCTCTGGCCAGAGTGATTCCCAGGTGGTTGGAAGGACTAGAGCACTGTCACATTTTTCTCTCTGTGAGGCAGACATTAAAGGTAGGGTCAGTGGAAGAAGCTGTATGTGTGGGCGGCCATTAGAAAGTGACCGGGTATGCCCCCAGAAGGGATCCGAAAGAGCTGAGAAAACTTCTCATTCATACTTGAAGCTGATCCTTGATACACAGACAGTCTGCAGCTATGAAAATAAAGGCAAAGCAAGACAAAATGAAACAAGCCGTAACGACATATAGACACCCCAGACAAGGAGGGAGAGGCTGGTTCTAGATGGAGATACCCAGTATTCAGCAGGAATCAATGGCATGTGATGGAATAAGAAAGAAGGCCTGTTCAGAGGGCGGAAACCAGCTGTACCTGAAAAGACCAATGGTGGACAGAGCTCAAAGTCCCAGCTGCTCTGCTTCTATCCCAGCTCCCTTCTGCCATGCCTGGAGGAGCTGTGCAAGATAGCCCAAGGACTTGGAGCCCTGTGGCCCCAAGTGGGGGACTCGTCAGAAGCTTCCAGCTAGTGACCATTTGAAAAGTGAACCAACAGTTGGAAGATCACTCTTTCTCTCATTCTCTCCTACACACACATATACTCTGCCTTTCAAATAGCTTGTTTGTTTGTTTGCTTGTTTGTTTTTTAAAGTGGAGTCTTGGGATCTTGTAAGTAAGTGCCAGGATCCCATACGGCACTGGTTCAAGTTCTGGCTGCTCCACTTTCCATCCAGTTCCCTGCTTGTGGACTGAAAAAGCAGTAAAGGACGGCCCAAGTCATTGGACCATGTAGCTTTTTGTGGGAGACCCAGAAGAAGCTCCTGCTTCTAGCTTTGGATCAGCTCAGGCCCAGCTGTTGGGACCATTTAGGGCGTAAACCAGCAACTGGAAGTTCATTGCCTCTCCTTCCTCTCCGTAAATTTGATCTGCCTCTCCAGTAAAAATCAATCTTCAAAAATAAATAAGAGTTTTTGAGAGGTGTTGGACTGAGGGCTCCACCTTGTTGACAGGGCAAGGTCGGCCTCGCTCTGCTTGTGTCATGTGATGACAAAAAGCCCTGGCCAGATGCCTGCTGCTTGCTATGGGGTTTCCCAGCCATCAGAGCTATAAGAAATTTTTGTCCATTTTCAGTGGCTCCTAAGCTATTCTGTCATTTGCAGTACACATCACACTTGGAATGCATGAGGGGACATGTGGGACACCAATGAGCAGACTACGATATGCATTTTATAAGTACTAGAAGACGAAGAAGAAACAAAGAATATTTGAAGAAAATTCCCAGATTTGATCAAAGGCATGAAGTGAACATTTGAAAAACTCAACAAACTACTTAACTCAGACACCACAACCAATATGTTACAATCAGAATTTGCAAGGCTAGGAGACTCTTGAAAGCATTGGAGCACTTTCTCATTACGTAAGGGGATCGTTAATAAGATTATAAGCAGTTCATTAGCTTTTATTGTATTGCTATAGGAAGAAGCTGCATACTAAGCTTGCAGCTTTGGGGGTTGAGAGTCCCAGATTGGGCGTCCATCCATGCAGGCCCCGGGAAGGGTGTCCGTGGCCTGGACAAGAGTGAGAGAGAATTGGGCCTGCTCTGAGGCCATTACCCCGGTAACCTAGGTACTTTCTACTAGGCCTTATCTCTCTTTTTAACCAGAATGTCAGATGTACAGAGTGAAAGAGAAACTGAGAAAAATCTTCCAACTGCTGGTTCACTCCTCAAGCAGCCCCAGCAGTCGGTTCTCAGCCAATCCGAAGCCAGGAACCAGGAGCTAGCAGCTTCCTCGGGGTCTCCTGTGGGAGTGCAGGGTCCCAAGGCTTTGGGCATCTTTAACTGCTTTCCCAGGCCACAAGCTTGAAGCTGGATGGGAAGTGGAGCTGCCGGGATTAGAACCGGCTCACATAGGAGATCCTGGTGCGTTCAAGGCGATGACCTTAATTGCTAAAGTATCGCACCAGGCCCTGTAAATAAATACATGTATATTTTTCTTTTTTTTTTTTAAATATATTTTTATTTTGAATTATGTGGTACGATTTTGTATAGGCTGGGATTCCCCCCCAAACTCCCACCCCCCAGCAGATTTTTCCCATTTTGTTACAAAAGTGAATATATGTATGTATTTTTTAAACTTTTTCCATTTTTTATTATATTTTTGACAATCTTTACATAGTGAATTAGGGTAAAATGTTTCAAGGGCTACAGGAAAGTGGGTAAGACTATTATTTCCATATTGCTTCTTTCATATATCTGAGGTGAAAGGGGATATTAAGGGAGTTAATGTATATATTTTAAAAATTATTTATTTTGAGATGCTGAGTTACAGAAATGGGAAGGTCTTTCATCTGCTGACGTTACCTGGGTGGTCATTACAGCCAGCAAGCACAGAGCTAAGCTGAAGCCAAGGGTTTGGTCATGTCTCTTGTGGGGTGGTTTTTGTCTCCCCAAAGCTTTATTAATTTAGAGTAGTTGTAGGGCAGACAGAAACATCTTGCATGTTTTTTCACTCAGTAGGTGGAAGCAAAGGCCCCAGGTGTGGCAGGAGGAGCTGTAGCTCCATCCCTGTCTGCATGAGGGTGTTGTGGGCCCAGGTACTCAGCGTCCTCTGCTGCTTCCCGAGGCCATTGGCACAGAGCGGGATCAGAGTGGGGCAGCGGGACACGAGCGGGCACAGTGTGGGAAGCTCGAGTTGCAGGTACACTGCACAACTGGCCCAAGTCACAGCAGATTTAAAGAGAGACATCAAAGTGTTTTCTCAGGGGTCTTCAACATAAATAAATAAAAATGTCTTGTTTAGCCATGATGGAATCAAATTAGGTATCAATAAGGAATTCAGTTTGAAAGTTGACAGTTCTGGGAATAAATCTCTTCAAACCAATGAATTGAAAAAAAATCTCCAGAGAAAGTATTTAAAGATAAATGACTACAAAAATAGCCTACCAGAATTTAGCAGAAGCACTCCTGAAAGGGAAATTGAGAGCCACACACACTGAAAACAAGAGGGAGGGCATCAGGCCTGTGGGGCACCAGGGCGTCACAGGGGACGGAGGACAACCCACCCTCAGGGCCTAGTGCCGGCTTTTCACAGTTGTTTAAAACGCATAAACTCAGTAAAAATAGTAACACTTGGCACTCAAAAATTTCATTTATAGTAATAAGAAGTAATACAGAAAAAATTACAGAAAGTTCCATTTACAGTTACATACTAGGAGAATAAACAGCTTCATTAGTATCTGAGCCATGGCTACTAAAGTATTATGAAAATGGCAGTGCATTGCAGAAAACAAACTGAAGGTGAATAACTAGATCCTTGTCCATGAGTTGGTAGTGTTGCTAAGATGTCATGACCACGGGTGATGTGAGCTAAGTGCTACTTCATTGTTAAAGATTCCTCAGAGAAGGAAACGGAGGAAAAGACCTTCAGCCGCTGATGCACTGCCCCAGTGGCCGCTGTGGCAGGACTTCCAGGGCGCCCATGTAGGTGCAGGCCTAGAGGCTATCTTCCAATACATTCCCAGAGATGGGATTGGAACTGCTGCTGCCTCCCAGGAAGCTGGATCATAAGTGCAGCCGGTTTGGGACACAGTGGGTTAAGCTGCATTTATGATCCAGCTTCCTGGGAGGCAGCAGCTGTAGGGTCCAGTGTACTGTACACAACCCAGATGGAGCTGCAGCTTCCCCTGTCCTGATCGTGCTGATTGGAGCCCATTGATTTGGGAAGGTACTAACAGATTGAAACTGGTGTGCGTGTCTCCCTTGCCTTTCAAATATATATACATATCTGTAATTTATTCACTTGTTCATTTATTTTTATTGCAAAGTCCAATTTACACAGAGGAGAGAAAGAAAAATCTTCCATCCACTGGTTTACTTCCCAAGTGGCCACAGTGGCTGGAGCTGAGCCAATCCAAAGCCAGGAGCCAGGAGCTTTTTCTGGGTCTCCCACGCAGGATTTGGGCCATCCGCAAGCGCTTTTCCCAGGCCAGAAACAGGGATCTGGATGGAAAGCGGAGTAGCCGGGATCGGATGGATTGGCACCCATATGGGATCCCGTTGTTGCAAGGCAAGGGTTTAGAATCTAAGCTACCACTCCGCGCGCTATTTATTTATTTTCAAAAATAGAAAAACCCACATAAAAAATATTTTATCCCAAGAAAGCACCCAGAGAAAGACTGCTGGAGCTCACCTGTCCTGAGTTCCCAAGGTTACGCATACTCAGGGTGGTGGGACAGACGGAGGCACGTAGACGACAGCAGGAGGGAGAGCTGCAGTCTCGCCCGGGCTGGGCACGGCGCACAAGAGCTTTGACTGTCCAGTTAGGGTGCCCAGGTTCCTGTCCTGCAAGGTGCCTTTCATATGCGTAATGGAAAATAGTACTGAACATGAGAATTTTCAAGCTTAGGTAAGATTAAATAAAATTCTGGGCCCGGTGCGGTGGTGCAGTGGTTAAGGTCCTCGCCTTGCACGCCCGGGATCCCATATGGACGCCGGTTCTGATCCCGGCAGCCCCACTTCCCTTCTAGCTCCCTGCCTGTGGCCTGGGAAAGCAGTCGAGGACGGCCCAAAGCTTTGGGATCCTGCACCCGCGTGGGAGACCCAGAAGAGGCTCCTGGCTTCGGATCGGCATAGCATCAGCCATTGCACTCACTTGGGGAGTGAATCATCGGACGCAAGATTTTCCTCTCTATCTCTCCTCTCTGTATATCCGCCTTTCCAATAAATAAATAATAAAAAATAAATCTTTAAAAAAAAAAAGATTAAATAAGATTCCATAGGCTACAGTTTAATAAACATACCTGAGCAAGTAATTACTTTATCTAATATTATCAGGGCTGTTGTTAAGGCATAGTGGGTGATGTGGCAACAGCATCCCACGTGGGTACTCTTTATTTCCAGTTCAGTTCCCTGCCAATGGCTTGGGAAAGGCACCAAAAGATGGGCCAAGTACTTGGGGCCCCTACCACCCACATGAAGACCTGGGTAAAGCTGGCACCAGCGTGGCATAGCCCTGTCTGTTCTGGCCATCTCTGGAAGGGAACCAGTGGAGGGTTTTTTTTGTTTGTTTTTAACTTTTATTGGAAATGCAGATCAGATTGACAGAAGAAGAGAGATAAATCTATCTCCAGATGGCTGCAGTGACCAGAGCTGAGTCAATCAGATAGTAGCCTCCTCTGAGTCTCCCACGTGAGTGCGAGTCCCAAAGTTCTGGGCTGGCCTCCACTGCTTTCCCAGGCCACAGGCAGGGAGCTGGACGGGAAGTTGGGCAGCTGAGTCATAAAAAGGCACCCATGTGGGGCCCGGCAGCCCCACTTCCCTTCCAGCTCCCTGCCTGTGGCCCGGGAAGGCAGTCGAGGACGGCCCAAAAGCTTTGGGACCCTGCAACCACGTGGGAGACCTGGAAGAGGCTCCTGGCTTCGCATCTGCATAGTATCGACTGTTGTGCTCACTTGGGGAGTGAATCATTGGATGGAAGATCTTCCTCTCTGTCTCTCCTCTCTGTATATCCGCCTTTCCAATAAAAAATTAATAAAAATAAATCTTTAAAAAAAAAAAGGCACCCATGTGGATCCTAGTGCTTACAAGGGTAGGATCAGGTAATTGCGCCCTCATGCCAGGCCCAGTGGAAGATATATTTACCTCTGTCTATCTATCCATCTGTCTCCCCCCCCCACCCGTACCTTCCCCTACATTGTACCTTCATATTTATATAATTCTGAGTTCGCAATACATTAAATCTTTTTTTAAAAAGGAGCTACCCCCTTACACATTCTGAGGTTTGATTATGATTATCCACCTGAAGTGATATTTCTTTTCTGTTACTGATACCGTGCTGAAGAAGGGACAGTGTCCTTCCATGATGCTTCATATTTTATATGTCAATGTTTTCAGAGTAGCAATGGTTCTGTATAATTAATTGGTTCATCTCTCCGGGCAGGGAGTCGCCGCATGGTGGACGTTATGGATGTGAACACCCAGAAAGGCATCGAGATGACCATGGCCCAGTGGACTCGCTACTATGAGACCCCAGAAGAGGAGCGGGAGAAACTGTATAATGTCATCAGCCTTGAGTTCAGCCATACCAGGCTGGAAAACATGGTGCAGAGGCCCACCACAGTAAGTGTGGCCGTTGTGTCCACGTGTGTCAACGTCACCATGAGAGTGGTTATTGCACTGTTGGATATGAATAATGTGTAATGTTAGAAGACTCTTCATTTTCCAAAATTGGTTAACTCTGTTATTGGACAGGGGCAATCAGATTTGTATCACCAGTGACTTAATTTAGGGACCTTGACTTTTGCATATAATGGAAAGCAGTCTTACCTCGCTTGATGAGAAGGTTATTCATGGGAAGTTTGCTTAGAACCAGTGAGCACTTGATGAGATGATGGGATTGGATGGGGTTAGACAAGGTAGCAGCCACTCCTTTTTTTTTTTTAATTACATTGCATTATGTCATGCAGTTCCATAGGCACTGGGATTCCCCCCACTATTCCCCAAACCTTCCCCCATGGTGGATTCCTCCACCTTGCTGCATTGCCACAGTTCAAGTTCAGTTGAGATTCTTTCATTGCAGGCATATACCAAGCATAGAGTCCAGTATCATTGTCTAGATAAGTTCAACTGCTTCTTGGGGAGACCCTCTCTGGTCTGAAGGTAGAGCCGGCAGAGCATCATCCCGATCAACCAAAAGCCCCAACATAACATCAGCAACAATTTATAATGTTATGGAATTAGGGGACAAAGTATTGAGTTTAAAAAAAATGCAAGTTCTTAACCACATCCTGTGACTTCTTCACTGATGCTTCGATTTTAGTTTATATACAACCGGATTCTATACACCTTAAAATTGCTACAGGTTACCATTCACTTGTCTCATGTGTATTTTCAGTGTAGTATTTAGCTTTTTATAGCGTCGAAGCATAATTTTTGTGAAGCTGTCTCCCCCCCCCCCCCCCCGGGAAGTCTAGACTGGCTTATAACTGTAACAAGACATATATCAACAGTTTAGGTGCAAAACAGTTTTATGGAGGGGTGTGCAGAGAAATCTTCAATGCGCCAGTGAGGAGTAATTAATCTTTGTGTATCACCTAGTAAGATATAAGTGAGTCCACGCTGTTGCCTGTCTGTTTTTAGGCTTTCCTTGTTGTTCTCTATATATTCTAGATTTTTGTTTTGTTGGTTGGTTGGTTATTTGTTAGTTTTGAGGGGTTTCCGGAGCAATCGTGCTGGTCATTGCCAGACAGCGTGCGGAACCAAAGTCGGAACCAAGCAAGGACCACAGAGAGGTCCCTTCCCTAGTCCCAAAGGAAGTCCACTGTTTTTCTGTATCTGCAGACTACTCAGGGCTCCTGGCTGTTGTTCTGATGCTCTTGGATCCCGCGAGGGAGGATTTTGACTTCTTCCATCCCATGTGGTAGATTCAAGCAGGAGTGGATGACCTCAGAGTTCTTGGCCTCTGAGGGCACTCGAATTCTCCGTGGTCTCCTTAGTAGCTGGGCTATAATCCTTGGTGCTCGTACTGATAGACCTTGGTGAGGATCTGGGAGTCTTCAGGGTTGGGATACAAGCCTCCTCTTGTCCCCCTGCTCCGCTCTGGGATTCCCCCCTACTCTTAGCATATAATCTCCTATTAAGAGGTTGTCAGGATCGCTCCTGAATCCCCCTGTTGTCTAATGCCACTCCTTTTTTTGAACGATTTATTTTTATTGAAAAGGCAAATTTAAGAGCCCAATGACTAACATCCTCACCTTTCATGTGCTGGGATCCCATCTGGGCGCTGGTTGATATCCTGGCTGCTCCACTTCCCATCCAGCTCCCTGCTTGCAGCCTAGGAAAGCGGTCGAGGATGGCCCAGAACCTCCCTGCACCCACGTGGGAGACCTGGAGGAAGCTTCTGTCTTCGGATTGACTCAGCTCTCGCCATTGTGGTCCCTTGGGAGTGAAAAGCGGATGGAGGATCTTCGTCTCTCCTCCTCTCTGTATATCTGACTTTCAATAAAAATAGATAAATCTTTAAAAAATAGTAGATAAAGAAAAGGCAGATTTACAGGACAAGAGGGACAAAGATCTTCCATCTACTGGTTAATCTCCAAATGGCTGCCACAGCCAGAGTTCAGAAAGTCAGGAACAGGGAGCCCTCTTAGAGTCTCCCCCACGCGGGTGTAGGGTCCCAGTGCTTTGTGCCGTCCTGGACTGCTTTCCCAGGCCACAAACAGGGACGCAAACTAGTGCCCATGTGTGATGCTGGCACTTGCAGGCAGAGGATTAGCCAGTGGAGCCCGTGCACCGAGTGACACAGAGGACTCCATGCACAGGGATTTCCCCATCTACTAGTGTACTTCTCCATTGGTTGCTGCAAAGTCGGGAGGCTCGAACTCCAGGCAGGATTGCCACATTAGTGTCAGTTGCCATAAATGTGGGTGACTGATGTCCTGCTGCATTTCTAGAAGTGTTGGCAGGGAGCTGGGCTGGAAGCAGAGCTGGGACTTGAGTGGTGCTCCGCGATGGGATGCCTTACCGTGCCCCTCCAGTCACTTTCCTTTTACCATTTGTATCCTTTGAGTTCTTGACTCTGGAGTTGATTGATTCAAGTGTTCTATTTAATGCAGGATTTGGAATATTCTTGTCATTTTATTGAAGTCAAGGTCCAGGGTTTTTTTTTATTTTTTTAAAGATCTATTTATTTATTGGAAAGTCAGATATACAGAGAGGAGGAGAGACAGAGAGGAAGATCTTCCCTCCAATGGTTCACTCCCGAACCAGCTGCAATGGCCATAGCTGAGCCAATCTGGAGCCATGATCCTCCTCCGGGTCTGCCACACAGGTGCAGGGTCCCATATGGGATCCTGGCACCTGCAAGGCAAGGACTTTAACCGGTAGGCTATCACACCGGACCCTTCTGTGAGTTTTGATGAGTTTGCCTATTTATGTTAAGTGCCACAGCAGTCAAAGGCTAGGATATTGTCACTTCTTTTTACAAATGTTTTGGCTTTTTAAAAGGTCTTTTTCTTCTTTTAAGATGTATTTTATTTGTAAGTCAGAGTTGCGTGATCTCCCATGCACTGGTTCACTCCCGAAGTCACTGCAGTGGCTGGAGCTGGGCTGGTCAGAAGCCTGGAGCCAGGAGCTACCTTCGTGTCTGCCATCTCGGTGAAAGGGCCCAAGGACTTGCATCATCTTCTGCTTTGCAAGGCCCATTAGCAGGAAACTAGAAGTAGAGCTGGACTCAAGCCAGAGCTCAGATATGATGTGGTTACTGCACACGGAGGCTTAACTTACTACATCCTGGCACCAATCCCTGGTGATGTCTAAGCTAGCAGGTTATTTTTATTGGAAAGGCAGATTTTATAGAACGAGAAATGAGGGCCTGGCGCCGTGGCGTAGCAGCTAAAAACCTCGCCTTGAATGCCCCGAGATCCCATATGGGCACTGGTTCTAATCCCGGCAGCTCCACTTCCCATCCAGCTCCCTGCCTGTGGCCTGGGAAAGCAGTGGAGGACGGCACAAAGCCTTGAGACCCTGCACCCACGTGGGAGACCTAGAAGAAGTTCCCGGTTCCCGGCTTTGGATTGGCACAGCACCAGCTGTTGTGATCACTTTTGGAATGAATCCTCAGATGGAAAATCTTCCCCCTCCTTCCCCCCATCTCCCCCCCCCGCCACGTATCTCCTGTGTATTTCTGACCTTGTAATAAAAAATAAATAAATCTTTTAAAAAAAGAAAATGAGAGGAAGATCTTCCACCTACTAGTTTACTTCCCAAATGGCCACAATGGCTGGAACTTCCCCAATTGGAAATCAGGAGCCAGGAGCTTCCTCTAGATCTCCCATATGATGCCTCAAGGCTTTGGGTCGTCCACTACTGCTTTCCAGGCCACAGGCAGGGAATGGGTGTAAGTGGAGCAACTGGATCACGAAATGCTGCCCATATGGGATGCCGGCATTTGAAAGGGGAAGATTAGCCAGTGGAGCCATTATACCAGGCCCTGTTGTGGTTTTTGTTTGTTTGTTTATTTGCTGTTTTTCCAGATTTGTTATCTTGGCTACTCTTAGTAGTATGCCCTACCTGTTTCAGCTACTTCCTGAAGTTGAGTTTTTTTGGATTGAAGAAAAGGAGCAAATTGTACTCGTGTTGAAGAAGCGTTGGTTGCCCACCGCTGTCTGTGTCAGTGCCTCCATTTTGATCAGTGTTGTCCTTACGATTGTGTTGCTGCAACCACTGTCCTTTATTCTGATTTAAAAATTATTTCTAAAATGCTTTTCTAGTAGCTCTAAGATTCACCACTGCTTGGTTTAATTCACTTTTGAGGAAATTGTGGCATTCTTGTAAAGTTCTCAAGGAATCATGGTTTTCTTTTTTAAAAAGAAAAAAACTATTGAGTTTTGGTGATTTTACACAGTTGATTAGGGTGAAAAAGGTCAAGGAATAGGGGGTTGTGGGTAAGACCATTGTTTCCAAGTTTCCTTTTTTCTTCCGGTGGGGGTGGGGTTAGATAAGGGGATGAGCTGCACCAGGTTCTCACTGCGCAGTACCCAGGCATGGGAATGGCCATTGGGCGTCATCCCAGGGTCTCCGATTGGGGCCTGTGCCCAGTTCTGCTCAAGTGCTTCTGAAAGGCTGTTATCTTGCCGTTCCCAGGACGAGGCGCTCCTCCTATGGTCCAGTTGCTGACATAATGCACCCTGGATTCTCTGGTCGCCCAGATATTTATTGTCAATGCTTGACTGACGTAGTTGGCCAATTCTGTTATGGTACCAGATGTCCTGTGCTGGCTCCAGTGGACTGCCACATCCTCCATGCGCACTTGGGCATGCCGTCCACTGCCCTGTCTAAGCCCCTGAGGAGGCCCAGCTCTGACACATTCACTCCGTGGTCTGCAAGTAGAGTGGCCTTGTCAATGAAATCCCTCGAAAGTCATTCCTCACCTGCACAAACTCCTTCCACTGTTCGCCCTCCCCCGGTAGGGCGCAGGCCTGTGCATCGGCTGGAGAAAGGGCCAAGGGAATGTGTGGAATTCTGCTTTTCTTGCATTTAAAACTCGTTAATTCCAACCATATTCTTGTATCTTAAGTGTCCCTTCCGTTTTTATGTTTTTTTTTTAAGGTGGATTTCATTGATTGGGTAGACAACATGTGGCCAAGGCATTTGAAAGAAAGTCAGACTGAGTCTACAAACGCCATCTTGGAGATGCAGTACCCGAAAGTGCAGAAGTGAGTGACTTCCCTGCGGTGTGGGTGCTGGGGGAGCCAGAATGAGACGTAAAGCGCTCCTCCCACAGACATCATCTGCTTTGTTCTGAGTGATCAAAAGGAGACGTTACAGTTCTAAAGGAGTATGTGTGCAAGAAGCACAGCGTGCCATCTCATGTTTAGGGGAAAGGTTATATTGACAATCTCCTCCTGCTGGGCAGGGTCAGAGGTTGGTCGGTCCATACCCAGAGACGGGTGTGACGTTTTGCTAAGCTGTTCCTCCTTTTCATTCTTGCTCTAATGGTCTCGTCTTCCTTTGTTTCAGGTACTGTCTCATGAGTGTGCGAGGCTGCTATACCGACTTCCATGTGGACTTTGGTGGTACCTCAGTTTGGTATCACATCCATCAAGGGGGAAAGGTATGGTCGTGGTCGTGATGGGTGATGACTTTGGAAGCTGGTTACGTGGCCTTGTTTTAGTTCTTGCAAACTTCCCATACCCTGGAAATGAACCTGTTAGGAAATTATCCCTGTTCTCATCTAAAGAGAATGGAAGATTGAGATCACCTTTTGGCTACAGTTGAGTAGTAAATAGCATTCATCTAATCTATGGTGATGACACCAACATTAGCACAACACCTCAACAATCCTGTTTCTAGTTTCCCAACAGTTCTCCAAGCAAGGTAATGAAGTGTTTTTACGAGGACAAAAGTGTTTCTGAACCTGTAGGATCATATCCACGTTTAAATGGTCTTAATTTTTTGTTTAATTGTGGTAATTACATGGTGCATGTAGTGGAAATAAACAACATACAAATTCGGATCCAAGCCAGCTTTCCCTGTGTAGACACAGCCTTTTGTGTGAAACGTGGCCATAGGATGCCTTTTCTCTTTGCAGACATGAACAGAATAGGAAAGATGATCCTATTTCAGGAAGAACTCTATTCCAGCTTATCAAAATATTCTGAGGGTTTGAGGGAGCTGAAATCTAGAATTAATTCCACAGAGTTACAGAGTTGGCAGTTACCCATTGTTTCCTTTAGAAGTCAATGCATTCGTGAGAGAAAAGTAGAGGTAGAATGAAAGTAGTGCTTCTTTTTTTTTTTTTTTTTAAGATTTATTTTTATTATTTTTATTGGAAAGGCGGATATACAGAGAGGAGAGACAGAGAGGAAGATCTTCCGTCCGATGATTCACTCCCTAAGTGAGCCGCAACGGTCGATGCTATGCCGATCTGAAGCCAGGAGCCTCTTCTGGGTCTCCCACGCGGGTGCAGGGTCCCAAAACCTTGGGCCGTCCTCGACTGCTTTCCCGGGCCACAGGCAGGGAGCTGGAAGGGAAGCGGGGCCGCCAGGATTAGAACCGGCGTGCATATGGGATCCTGGGCGTGCAAGGCGAGGACCTTAACCACTGTGCCACTGCGCCGGGCCTGAAAGTAGTGCTTCTGAGAAGATTTTATTTGTTTGAAATGCAGTTATGCGGAAGAAGAAGAGATAGAGATGGACACGCATTGATATTCTGTGTGCTGATTCATTCCTCGCATGGCTTCACCGGCCGGCACTGGCCAGGCAGCTCTGGGAGCCCGGAGCTCCAGCCCGGTCTCACATCGCTGTCTGGGACCCAGGCACGTGGACCGTTTTTTTTTGCTGCCTTCTAGGTGCATTAGCAGTGAGCTGGATTGGAAGTGGAGTAGGCAGGACCAGAACCAGCTCCTGTGTGAGATTCTGTCACTGCAGTCAGCTGGTTAATGCAATGTGTCAAAAATTTTTCCTCAGATGGTTCTTCAAAAGTGAAATCTTATTTTTCAAAACGGTTGTGTGTGTGTGTGTGTGTGTATTTAAAGACAAAGAGAGTTCTTCCATTTGCTGGTTCACTCCCCACGTAGGTACAGCAGCAGCCTGTGCTAATCCAGACAAAGACCAGGAATCAGGAAGTCCATCGTGGTCCCGCACATGAGCAGCAGGGGCTGCAAGTGCTTGGGCCATCCTCTGCTGCTTCCCAGGCTCATTCAGGGAGCTGGGATACAAATGGAGCAGCCAGGACTCTAAGCACCACAGCAGTGTGGGCTGCCAGCACTGTGAGCCTCGGTGTGACTTGCTAGACAAATACTAGCCTCACTTACATCTGTGCAAGTGGTGTTTTAAGAAGTAGGATATTCTCTAACCACTGTGCTACTCAGAGCTCTGGAGGCCTGACAGCCAGAGCTGTAGGAGGCCTTGCCTGCCTGACGAGCTGGGTGCCGTGTTCTTTCAGTCGTGGACTTGGGTGTTCTGCATTCTGCTGTCAAGCTTCAGTTCTCATGCCCTTCAGTCACACCAAGAATGAGGAAGACTACCTTTCTGGGGTGCTCACAAGGAGTGCCGCTGTGTCGGCTGGGCGATTGCTTTTCTCTTTCACCGGATGGGCTTCCCTGGGGCATGTCAGTGGCTGTTAACAGACTGAAGTCTTTTAACTCACAGGTCTTCTGGCTCATCCCCCCTACAGCCCACAACCTGGAGCTGTACGAGAACTGGCTGCTGTCAGGGAAGCAGGGAGACATCTTCCTGGGTGACCGGGTGTCAGATTGCCAGCGCATTGAACTCAAGCAGGGCTATACCTTCGTCATTCCCTCAGGTAAGCATGATAGGCACAAGCTGTTTAGCCACTGTGTTTTGCTAAAGGCTTCTGCCTGTAGTGCCAGTATCCTGTGTGGGCAGCAGTTCCACTTCCAGTCCAGCTTCCTGTTCATGGACTGGGCAAGAAATGGAGGATGAGTCAAGTGCTTGGGCCCCTGTACCCACATGGGAGACCCATAGGAAGCAATCTTTTATTTTTTTTTTCCTTCCCTCCCTCACAGTTTCGCGGCTGGTGCTGTAGTGCAGTCATTAAACTTCTGTAGTAGCAGTATCCCCTATGTGTCTAGTTCAAGTCTTAACTGCTCTACTTCATTCAGCTCCTTGCTTCCCTGGAACGGCAGTGGAAGATGCCCCAAGTAGTTGGGCGCCTGAATCCATGATGAAGCTTTTGGCATCATCATGGCCAGATCCTGGCTACTGTAGGGAGTGAACCAGCATATGGAAATCTCTCCATGTCTCCTGCTCTCCTTGTAATTCTGCCTTTTAAGTAAACAGATAATTTTTAAAAGTTGTCCTCATCTTTATTGGAAAGGTGAATTTACAGAGAGAGAAGAGACAGAGGAAGATCTTTCATCTGCCGTTTTACTCCCCAAGTGACCACATGTGAAGGATTAGCCAGTTATGCCAGTGTGCCAGTCCCATAAATAGATAAATATATGTATTTAAGTTAGATTATATTAAGACAAAGGTTTTATCCTAGGTTATATCCTAACCATTATATTTTTTTCTTAAGATTTCTTTATTATTTGAAAGATCCTTTGAAAGCACTTGACTATTCTTTGTCAGCCAGTTAGGATGGTGAGCTGGGCTTCTTAAGACGTCAGCATCCCATGTGGGCACTGGTTCATGTCCCGGCTGCTCCACTTCCCATCCAGCTCCCTGCTGGTGGCCTGGGAAAGCAGTGGAGGACGGCCCAAAGCCTTGGGACTCTGCACCCACATGGGAGACCTAGAAGAAGCTTCTGGCTCCTGGCTTTGAATTGGCTCAGCTCCAGCCATTGTGGCCGCTTGAGGAGTAAACTAGCAGGCATAAGATCTTTTTCTCTATCTCTCCTCTCTATAAATGTGCCTTTCCAATATCAATAAATTAATCCTAAAAACAAACTAAAAAAAGAGTTAGAGATGGAGACTCCCCGTGCTGAGACAGGCTGAAGCCAGGAGCTTCTTTGTGTCTCCCGTATATTGTCGCATGGGCCATCTTCCACTGCCTTCCCTGGCCGTTAACAGGGAGCAGCTAGGACATACGCCAGTACCAACCCACTATACCAAACACCCACCCTATTTGAACCATCTTTTATGCATTTTCTTATGTAATGATTACCAACAGCCAGTTTAATTTATCTTGGAGGAAACAGAGTGAGCAATTAAGTCAGCTGACCAGGCACTGACTAGCAGCGTGACGGTAAGAACACCGTCTCGGGCTGTGCTGCTGGGAGCTGTGCACTGAGTGCCCCTCCGCATCTCTTCCAGGTTGGATTCATGCTGTGTACACTCCTACAGACACACTAGTATTTGGCGGCAATTTTTTGCATAGCTTCAACATCCCTATGCAGCTGAAAATTTACAACATTGAAGATCGCACACGGGTAACTAATTTTTTTACTTTTGAATGTTAAGAAGTTTATTCCTTTGAAGACAGGTATTACAAGAAATTATTGTCAATTGTCCAAACTTACAAGTTTTCTCTAGGTTAAAATGCAGTGTTGATATTTTGGGAGCCACAGAGAAAAAATGTAACAGAATTAACAGAATTTGGGACTCCAAGGCCAGTTGTTGCGCCTCTTGGTATTTTGGATTTTTGTAGGGATTCACATGCAAGTTTCTTTTTTCTTTTCTATTTATTTATTTATTAATTATTGTCTAACACTTGGGCCAGTTTTGTTTAATGTGTGAGTTGTCTTCTTCTTTCTGTAGTCTGCAAGTTTTCCTGTTCTCAGTCTTCTCTGGGGTGGTCCGTGATGTGTGGCACCGTTCTGGATGCCAGGGGAGAACAGGAACCCATTGCACACTGGGCACCTTACGGCAAGGGCAGCCTGCATTTTCCTGTGAAAGACCCTGTAGTAACGAGTTCAGAGTCTGAGTACACAGAATCATCTACTCAACCCAGTTTTGTGATGTGAAATACTTAGTGAATGACTATGGTTCATGGACATGGGAATTTGAATTTTTCATCACCTTAATGAATCATTTCCCCCTCTGTGTATGTCTGACTTTCCAATAAAAAAACATCACAAGAATGCAAAAAATACCTGTGCTTTACAGGCTTCCCTGAAGTGGCACAGGCCACGCAAAGACGCTGCCTTTCTGGCCGCTTACGACTCAGGGAACTACAACTTAAAACTTTTTTTAGCAGCATCCTGGATGGTAAGGACTGAATTATGTATGATCAAAGTGTAAGTAGCATTGAAAGTCAATAATAAGCTATAATTTATGCCCAAGTAGTGTACAAAATACTGACAGTAATCGTGAATAGAGACTAGTAAACCTGGGTAATGGTCAGCGATTGGAGAGTCTCAGAGGGGACATAGGCAGGTTCTTAGTATTAATGCTGAAACTTTTTGGTCAATATAAAAGTATTAAATATTTTGAAATACTAATTGGTGAAGAATTTGGCCTGCTTGCTGCGAACATGCCCCCTTAACCACTGTGCTGCACAGTTCAGTGCGTTTCGTGTGCTGTAGGAGCTGGGTGTGACGGGAGCTCGTCTGTTCGTGCGGTTAAGAACAAAAGCAGTGTGTTTTCAATAAACTTTGTAAACTGAATTGCTGCTTGTTAGAGAATATTATAAGTACAGAATGTTTAAAGTCTAAAATTCAGTAAAGGAAGAAAACTGCACTCGATAATACAGTATTCATATTTAATTCACATCGTTGTAAGAGGTAGTGGCACCCTGGTAGTTCCAGGGTTCACTCTGGAGGGAAATTGCTTTTTTAAAATGCAGATGTCCAGTCAGTCCAAGACATCAGAGCTCCGCGCTAGCAGGCTGAGCGCCTCCCCTGCGTGAGCGTGGCACTGCGAGGACTGGTCTGTTCCCTCATTCTCCTCAGTCTATCAGAAAACGTCACATCCCAGGATCCAGTACCTGCTTTTTTACACATGCGTACTTGTTTCATTCTGAATAAGGCATCCCCTGTTTCTTGACATGCCTTGGTCACAGCAGGGTTTGTGTTGCTTTTCTTACCAGACTTGCGTGTGCCATAATGTTAACTGCTACCAGTTTGTGTTTAGCAGAGAAAATAGAAAATGGTTTATGAAAGAATGCAAGGCTTGGGCCCGGCGCAGTGGCGCAAGTGGTTACGTCCTCGCCTTGCACGCCCGGGATCCCATATGGGCGCCGGTTCTAATCCCGGCAGCCCCGCTTCCCTTCCAGCTCCCTGCCTGTGGCCTGGGAAAGCAATCGAGGACGGCCCAAGGCTTTGGGACCCTGCACCCGTGTGGGAGACCCGGAAGAGGCTCCTGGCTTCAGATCGGCATAGTATCGGCCGTTGCGCTCACTTGGGGAGTGAATCATCGGACGGAAGATCTTCCTCTCTGTCTCTCCTCTCTGTATATCCGCCTTTCCAATAAAAAATAATAAAAATAAATCTTTAAAAAAAAAAAAGAAAGAATGCAAGGCTATTATGTCAACATGATGATTTTGGTTACTTTGGCCATTTAGGAATGAAAAATATTAAAAACTTGAGTATTGGTAATGTCTGATAGCATTTAAAAGCTCTATATTTTGTTTTTTTTTTTGTGTTCAATTTTTTTTAAAGATTTATTTTATTTTATTTTTTTTAAAGATTTTTATTTTATTTTTATTGGAAAGGCAGATATACAGAGAGGAGGAAGAGAGACAGAGAGGAAGATCTTCCGCCCGATGATTCACTCCCCAAGTGAGCGCAAAAGCCGATGCCATGCTGATCCAAAGCCAGGAGCCTCTTCTTCCTCACACTGTTTCCACTAGTCTTCTAAGTATTGTGCCATGTAGGTCAACAACACAGCATTATTGTGGAGTGAGGAGCTGCCATATTGTCACACCACAATGTGTAATGCGGGCTGCTTGAGAGCTGATCCCAGTCTGCCCTCCGAGCTGATGCAGATTGAGAATAACTTACATGTAAAATGGGAACATGTGAGTTTGTCCCATGGGCTTTTGAACTGTAGTAAAACAAGGTCTGTTATTCTAAAGACCATAAAGCAACTTTCTCAAGTATTTTGTGTGTCACTTTTTACATCTTACTCTGTATCATCCAAAAAGCCGTAATTTCTTTTTCATCTTTTCCTACTCACCAGAGATAGCTTCATGGTGCTTGAGAATGGTCTTTTCAAGTACTTTTTATCTACATTGATTGTTTCCCAGGACCAGAATTTGCTGAGTTAATGGATCAGTTTAAAATTCTTACTTCAGATGCAAACCTGGGTTTGCAGATGGACCAGTAAGAACTTGTTCTGGGTCCTTATAATGGTTCCGTTTGTCTTACTCTCCATGGATTGAAGACCATCCTCACGTTATTTCTCATCGTGTGTCTGCATAGGTTCCAAACAAGTTCCGCTACCCCTTCTACTATGAGATGTGTTGGTACGTCCTGGAGCGCTACGTGTACTGTATAACCAACCGTTCCCACCTGACCAAGGAGTTCCAGAAAGAGTCCCTCAGCATGGGTAAGTGTCGGCCCCGGGGACTCTCGGGAGCAGCAGCGCGCCTGGGAGCATGGCACACTGCTCTTCAGTAGTTATGTATCTGTTTATTTGGAGTCCCTTTTTACACTGTAAGTAGCTACCTTTTAATTCTCTGAAGGAGCAGACTCATGCCTTGGAATGGTACGCTGGCTTCCTTGGCAGCTCTGAAGTATGGTGCTAAGTTAAATACTTTGAATCAGATCTAGTCACTGAAAGAGCAGTTTGAAGACATTCAGTTCTCATTAACACCTGTGAGCTAGGTAGGATGTGGCTAACAGCACGTATCCCACATCACTGCTTCGGATCCCCCTTCCCTGTCACAAATGGCAACATAAGGCAAGCTATTGTAAAGCTTGTCCAGTCCGATAGTAGTGGGAGACAGTGCTGCACCGTGAACCAGAGTGGTCAGCCGTGGGGACCCTCATGCTCTCGGGCTTATCTGTCCATCTCTGTCGCTCCCTTTCCCTCCCCATTCCATGGCTTCAAACTGGGGAGCAGCCAACACTGTAATACCCTGTGGTGACATTTTTGTGGATCTTCGATTTAGGCAAGTTAGTTTCTGATTTAGCACTTATAACAGCATGTAACATCCTGCTTAATTTTTGTTAGAATTTACATTGTCATGTAAAAATGAAAAACACTTGATATATGGCGGGAGGGTACTCAGTTGTGAATACAGCAGGTGGGAGGGCACCCCCATTGCATATAGCGAACAGGCAGGCAATGTTGGTTTGTGGGGTGGCTACTTGGAATCCTGCTTCCTCCTCCTGTACTGAGGAAGGACCCAGAATATGGCCCAGATATTTGGGGCTCTACCACCCTTTTTGGAGAATACAATGAAGCTGTGGCTCCTGGCTTCAGCTTGGCCCAAACTGGCTGGCAAGGGAGTGAAGTGGCAGACCAGAGGCATAGCTCTGTCACTTTGCCTTTAAGTAAAATATCTTCATGAAGTTATTCAAGGGGCCTGGCGTGGTGGCCTGGCGGCTAAAGTCTTCACCTTAAGTGAAACAGAATCCCATATGGGTGCCGGTTCTAATCCTGGCAGCCCTGCTTCCCCTCTAGCTCCCTGCTTGTGTCCTGGGGAAGCAGTTGAGGCCAGCCAAAGTAATTGGGACTCTGTACCCGTTGGGGGACCTGGAAGAGGCTCCTGGCTCCTGGCTTCAGATGAGCTCAGCTTTGGCTGTTGCAGCTAGTTCGGAGTAATCCAGTGAAGGGAAGATCTTTCTTTATGTAAATTTGACTTTCTAATGAAAATAAATCTTTTTTTTTTTTTAAAAAAAAAAAAAAAGAATTCAGCTTCATTAGAAGAATAGTCTTGGTGGAGATGCCCATACCCACATCTGAGTGCCTTTTGTTCGTGATGCCAACTTCATGCAAACTTTTTATAATCAAAAACTTGGTGGAGTTGTTTTTTTTGTTTGTTTGTTTGTTTGTTTGTTTTGTTTGTTTGAAGGCAGATTTACAGATATAGCGACATAGAGACAGATCTTTGATTTGCTGGTTCAATGCCAAAATGGACACAACAGCTGCTTCTGTGTTTCCCATATGAGTGCAGTGTCCCAACGCCTTTTGTCGTCCTCCACTGCTTTCCCAGGCCAGAGGCAGGGAGTGCAGACAGGACGTGGATCAGCACACATACAGAATGCCAGTGCCACAGGGCAGAAGACTCAACTACTGCGCCACTATTACTGTCACGCTAATCAAAACTGTTACACATATATATGTATCATATTTTATGTTGTGTTAAAAGGTAGTGACATCATAATCCAGAATTGAAGCTTAAACTTGGAACTAATTTACCATCCCTTTCATCATTGTCCGTTCTTAGCACGTAGTTGAAAGACTGAGTACTCCTCAACTTAAAATACATATATATGTATTTATTGGAAAGTCAGATCAGTGAAGGACACACAGATCCTCCATCTGACGGTTTACTCCCCGAATGTCCACAGTGGTCAGAGTTGAGCTGATCAAAGCCAGGAGCCAGGTAGCTTCTTCTAGGTCTCCCATAAGGGTACAGGTTCCCACGGCTTTGGGTCATTCTTGACTGCTTTCCCAGGCCACAAGCAGGGAGCTGGATCGGAAGTGGGACTGTCAGGATGCAAACCGGTGCCCATGGGAACCCCGCACATACAAGACAAGGACTTTAGCCACTAGGCACCTCACTGGACCCACTCTTCAACTTTTTGAAAATCCAGTTGACTTGTTCTCTCCATGGTCTACCAGTTCAGGATTCTGTTTCTGTCTGTCATTCAGCAATGACTTTCAGCTGTGAACAAATGGACTGGAATGAGTAGCAATTGTATTTGAAATGTGATGGTTTTGTCCCGTGTGACCTCGGGGCCCCTGCTGTCATGGCAGGTTCTGAGTGTGTGTTCTTCGCATTGGTAGATTTGGAGCTAAATGGGCTGGAGTCTGCACACGGAGACGAGGACGCCGCGGATCGGGAGCCCCGGCGCCTCAGCAACAGGCGCTCCGTTCTTACCAGCCCAGTGGCCAACGGGGTCAACCTGGATTACGACGCATTGGGCAAAGTTTGCCGGAATCTTCCAAGTCTGAAGAAAACTTTGTCTGGGGATGCCTCCTCTGACTCTGGCCGGGGTTCCCACAACGGCCAGGCGTGGGACGGCCAGTGCAGCCCGCGCAAGGACAGGCCAGTGCACCTGACCCATTTTGAGCTTGAAGGCCTTCGCTGCCTTGTTGATAAGTTGGAATCTCTTCCACTGCATAAGAAGTGTGTCCCCACAGGGATAGAAGACGAAGATGCGCTCATTGCTGATGTGAAGGTAAGAGCTTGCGGGTGAGGGGGCAGTCTGTCTGCAGTCGGGGGGCAGATGAGTTCTCCATAACCTCTGATGGAGACAGAGAGTGTGTGCGTATTTCATGACGAATGCTTTCTGTTTCAGTTGCTGGAGTGAGGTTAGGTCCCTGATGGGAAAATACTAACATTTGTACATTCATTGTGGCGTGAGATTTAATCCTAAAAACATGTTTCTGATTGTCCCCAAAAGAGAGGGACAGAGCTTTGGGCATAATGAAAGCCGTGTTGCATAGAAGAGGATTTGGGTTCAAGTCCCGGCTCTGCTCCTAGTCCCTGTCCCTGCCAGCTGATACCATCTTGGGCCCCAGTGATTGTGTTTCTGGCTCTTAGCTTCAGCCAAGCCCAGTGGAACGTCTTGGCAGTGGAGGAGATTTCTGTTTACCTCCCTTTTCTCCTTCCCTCTCTCAAGTAGATTTTTTAAGAAGCTAGAAAATTTTTCCCATTGTGCTTCTACTTGTGGGGTCTTCCCAATGGCTCAATTAGCTAATCGTCCACTTGGAAGCACCAAGATTCCAAGTAGCACAGGTTTGAGTCCCAACTGCTAGCTTCCCATGCAGCTCCCTGCTTGTGCCTTGGGAAGCAGCGGAGGACGGCTTGAAGCCTTGGGCCCTGCACGTGGCTCCGGCCTTTGGAATTTCTCAGTTCTGACTGTGGTAGTCATTTGAAAAGTGAAACACTGAATGGAAAACTTCTTTCTTGATCTATCCCTCTTTCTCTCTAACTGCCTTTCCAATAAATCTTTAAAAGAAAAAAATATGAAAAACAATTAAGATAAAGAGGGCAGTTGTAGGCCAGGCAGGAATGGCCTCAGCAGATTGAAAGAGAATCTGTTGTTCAGTCCCTGGTTCATGTTGAATAGATTTTGCATTTTTAGTTTAATCTTTTTTTTTTTTCTCTCTCTTTCTCTCTCTCTCTTTTTAAGATGTATTTATTTTTATTGTAAGGCAGAATTACAGAGAGAGAGGGAAAGACAGAGAAAGAAATCTTCCACGCCGTTATTCACTGTGCACATGGCCACCGTGGCCAGGGCTGGGCCAGCCCAAAGCCAGTGCCAGGAGCTGCGCTCATCTGGCCGGTGGGGCTAATTGAGCAGTGAACGAGCAGGTGGAAGAGCTTTCTCTCTGTTTCTTCTCTCTGTGGATCTGCCTTTCCAATACAAATAAACAATAAATCTTTGGGGAAAAAATATGTTTCAGGGCAACTTGTTAGAAAAATGTCTTTACAATGAGTTAAGTCACTGTCTGTAACACTTCTTTTTTTTTTTTTTTTTTAAAGATTTTATTTTTATTATTTTTTCATTGGAAAGGCAGATATACAGAGAGGAAGAACTTCCATCCGATGATTCACTCCCCAAGTGAGCCGCAACGGTCGATGCTATGCTGATCTGAAGCCAGGAGCCTCTTCCGGGTCTCCCATGCGGGTGCAGGGTCCCAAGGCTTTGGGCTGTCCTCCACTGATTTCCCAGGCCACAGGCAGGGAGCTGGAAGGGAAGTGGGGCTGCCGGGATTAGAACTGGTGCCCATATGGGTCCCGGGTCTGCAAGGCGAGGACCTTAACCACTTGCGCCACCGCGCTGGGCCCATCACACTTTATCTTTTGACAGAGCTCCTTCTCCCGTCCCTGCTGCTCTGATTCCAGGACCATTCCCTGCTGCCCGCCCGGAAAGGCATCAGGGTTTGGTCCTGCGCGTAGGGTCTTGCCACTGCCACCCCAGGATGGAATGACTGCCTCCTGGATTCCCCTGGCCTGGCTCGGCTGTTGTGGCCACCTGGGGAGTGAGCCAGTAGAGGAGGGAAGCTCTGTCTGCCTCTCTCTCTAATCAAAAGTAAATCTTTTTACAATTTTACTTCTTTTTGTGATTATCATTTAATGATACAGTTCCATAGGCCCTGGGATTTCCCTTATCCCTTCCACAATTCCTTCCCTTCTCACTGAGTTTCCCTGTATAATTACGTCCAGCACTGCAGGCATGGACAATGGCAGAGTCCAGCATCCTGTTGTCAGGATGTAGTAAACAGTGTCATTGAGAGTCCATCTTTGCCTGGAAGTAAAGATACATAGCACGTTGTTCTAGTGCTATAAATCCCCTAATATGAAAAGCCACAGTATAAAATCAACAACAGAAGAAAAAAAGAAAATTAACAACACCGTGAGTTAAATGACATGCTACTAGATGGGAGTTTCTGCACATTGTATATTTTTCTCATGTAGTAAAATGCCTCCCAGCATTAGAACTTGTAAGACCATCGTAACCCTTTATTTATTGTTTCAGAGAAGTGAGCTTGTTTGAAATAATCCAGTTTGAACTGTATGAACTGAAGCTAATGTTTTCCTCATAAATAACCATTAGTAGGAATATTTTCTTTATGAATCAGCATTCAGAGCTCTTTTGTAGGTACAGGTCTTGAGGTGTGTGTTAGCGAGCGAGCCTCCGCTAGCCTCCAGTCTGTCACGTAAGGGTGTGCATTGTGGTGCCCTGGGTTAAGCTACTATTCGCATAGTAGGAGTGTGGATCTAGTCCCAGTCATTCCACTCCAGTTCAACTTCCTGATGATGCTTTGTGGGATGTAGGTAGCAGATACAGAATCAAGTGCTTGGACCCTTGCCAGCCTCGTGGGCAGCAGAGTTGGAGCTCCAAGCACCAGGCCCTGGCCTGCCCACACCTGAGTGCTGCTGACATTTGAGGAGCACTGCAGCAGAGGAAGATGTCTGTCCATCTCATTCACTCTGTTCCTGCCGTGCAAGTAGATAACTCTGTCATATAGAGCCATCGTCATGGTAACACCAGCATCCCATATGGGTACCAGTTGTGTCCCAGCTGCTCCACTTGTGAACCATCTTCCTGCTAATAGCCTGGGAAGCAGCCTGGGTGGCCCAGATTCACTCAGTGGATGAAAGCTCTAACTCTGACTTTAAATAAATAATTTTTTAATCTGTCCGATTATTTGTGAGGGAGTAAGATTTATTTATTTATTTATTTATTTTTATAGAGTGGAAAAGCAAAGATCTTCCATCATCTGGTTCACTCCCCAAATGGCTACACAGCCTGGAGCTGAACCGATCTGAAAGCTGGAGCCAGGAGCTTCTGGGATATGAAGCGACACACATATATGCCAGCACTGCAAAGTGAAAGGTTAACTAGTTAGCCATGTCTGTAGCTCTTTTAAAAGCAAATAAATAAATCTTTTTTTAGTGGGTTATGTAATCCTGAGAATTTGCGTATGACATCCTTCCTACGGGAGTCTCCTTTCATCTTGAATACGTGGAAAATGTTGCGACTTTGGACACTAGCTTGGTTCATTAATTTTAGCAATCTTAAAACTCTCTCTACATAAATTTATATAAGATTTATGTATTTGGAGCTCCGCGCCATAGCCTAGTGGCTGAATTCCATGCCTTCCATGTGCTGGGGCCGCTTATGGGCATCACATCATATCCCAGCAGCCCAGCTTCCCATCCAGAGACCTGGGAAGGCAGCTTAGGACGGCCCAAAGCCTTGGGATCCTGCTCCTACACAGGAGACCCAGAATAAGCTCTTGGCTCCTGGCTTAGGATCAGCTCAGCTCTGTCGGATGTGGCCACTTCAATAGTGAACTAGCAGATGGGAAAATCTTTCTTTTTTTAATTGGATTTGATTAAGCACTGCAGTTGGAGAGGTGAAAAAGAAATCTAGAATAACATTAGTTTATTAGGGGGAAAAAAAAATTAAACTTGAGAGAGCAAAGTCTTCCATCTGCTGGTTCACTCCCAAAGTGACTGCAGGTTTCACGCAGATCCCACATGTGGGTGGTTAGGGCCCTGAGCTTTAGACCACTTTCCTATGCCTGCGGGTTAGCAGGGGAGCTGGATCAGAAGTGGATCGGCCAGAACAAGAAGCAGCAGTTGTGACGCACAGATGGCAGGATTATGCATAAACCACTCTGTGTGTCTGAGTGTTCTTTCGGCCTTGAGTATCTGCCTGCTGGCTTGGGAGAGAGCAGAATGCCCTTTTGGTCCTTAGGCATGTTATACGGGTTGTCCTGGACAAGACCCATCTGCGCTCCACTGCTGCTGCACACGGTCTAGGGATGCTAGCAGTGGAGCCATCGGGAAGGTTTAAAGAAAACAGCTGCGTGATGAGAGCTGAGGGCAGGGCTGTGATAGCACATGAGAGAAGGGTGCACAGTGGTTCAGGCCAAATGCTAAGCAGAAGAAACAGTAAAATGAAGGTTGCAAAAGAGAAATCTAAAAAGGTCTCCTAGCATATAAAGATTGTGTATTGTCCTTCAAAGTTAAGAGGGAGGGTGGTCAGACCTGGAGGGAGTGAGAGGTCTTCCATCTGCTGGCTCACTCCTCAAATGTTTACACCGGCCAGAGCTATGCCTGTCTGAATCTGGGAGCCAGGAGCTTCTTCCAGCTCTCCCATGAGGGTACAACAGCCTGAGACTCTTACTGTCCTCTGCTGCTTTCCCAGGCCATTAGCGGGGAGCTGGATCAGAAGTGCAGTAGTGGGGCCCGGCGCGGTGGCGCAGTGGTTAAGGTCCTTGCCTTGTACGCCCGGGATCCCATATGGACGCCGGTTCTGATCCCGGCAGCCCCGCTTCCCTTCCAGCTCCCTGCCTGTGGCCCGGGAAAGCAGTCGAGGACGGCCCAAAGCTTTGGGACCCTGCACCCGCATGGGAGACCCGGAAGAGGCTCCTGGCTTCAGATCGGCATAGCATCGGCTATTGCGCTCACTTGGGGAGTGAATCATCGGGCGGAAAATTTCCTCTCTGTCTCTCCTCTCTGTATATCCGCCTTTCCAATAAAAATAAAAGAAGTGCAGTAGTGGGGACAAGAACTGGCACCCATCTGGGATGCTGGGATCACCAGCTGAGAATTAATGTGCTAGGTACCACAACAGCTTTGAGCCATCCTCCGCTGCTTTCTCAGGCCACAAAACAGGGAGTTGGGTGCGAAGTGGAGCAACCAGGACATGCAACAGCT